TGGTATATGGAGCCAGTGCCCTACTCCTTGAGCCATAGGCACCACCCTATGATTACACTGGTAATCACAGCCTGTATCTACTAGGCTTTCACATCTAGGGCAGCTTCAGTATTTGTGTGCTTACCATGACAGGAAGATTTGTCTAACTTTATTTTCTTTTATTTTTGCAAGGCAAGCATAAGGCAAGGTTTATTGAGGAAGAAAAAAATCAGTTTACAGAGTGAGGAAGTTTACAGAGCAGAACACTGTCACTGTAGACCTCCATTGCCAGGACAAGTGGGCAAAGAGGTCAGATTTATCTAATTTTAAAATGAGCGTGTTAGAGGAAAAGGGTCAGATTGAGTCACATCATTGCCTGAGATCCAATTGCTGGAAAACAGGATGACCAGGAGGCTACTGAGAGCTGATTCTACAAAAAGAAGTTTCCGAGTTGATGAAGTTTCTAAATGGAGTGGATCCATTCAACAGAGAACAAAAGCAAAAGTTTGTCCGAGAACAAGTCAATAATACCTCTAAATCATTTCAATGCCATGGAAGTTACTCGTCTCATGGTTTGTAGCCGATACGGTTATTGAAGAGATTCAAGTTTAACCTTCAACAATGCTAAAGGTCTGTGAAGTTTCTTTGCTGCAAATGGCTATGCTGAGATGGTAAAACTGAATCCATTAAAAGAAAGACAGGGAGGCCTTCCTCAGTGATGGCTGGAATTGAAGTATTCTCCTTATTTTGTGCTTGGAAAGTCATTCTTTTATCATTCCACAAAGTCTTATCCAAAAACCTGGCTATGAAAATTCCCAAGGGTCTCCCATCAATCTGGTAACCAGTCAGGATTTTAATCAACCCTTCTGAGCAAACACCAGGCTGGTAAAGGCCAGTGGCTGTCCAGTTGACACAGAACCAGCCCTACCCATGGACCCAGCCCATTGAGTTCATTCTCTTCTTCACAATTCTACAGCCCTAGCTGTACAATGGTTTCTTTTGCTTATGTGTGTATAATCTCATGGAATGAATTCGTACAAAAGATAAATAAGAAACTGTGAGAAATCTTTGCCCAAACCTTGCTGTGCACCTGAAGTTCAAGTGTGTTTGGTTAACCTTCTATTATTCCTTCTCTTTCCTTCAGGTGACCTTTCTGGTCTTAGTCCTCGCCACGGCATGTCAAGGCAAACAGTGGCTCAATGGGACCCTGGCACCATGTGACAAAGAAACTCTTATGAGCTGTCTATGAATTATTTCATTCATCAGGTGCACATGCTGGCACCACCCCTGCCACTGGAAATGGGAAAATGTCAGCCCAACACACAGGTACTTCCCAACCTCTAAACACCGAAGCCAAACCATAGATGATGAGAACTCCAATTGTTGCTTTCTCTCCAATTGTTTTCCTGTTGGAAATTCAGATTGTCCGTGCAATTCAGATTGTCAACCCTGGAAAAGGCAGCTTACGGAGTCAGTACAGGGATCCTTTTCCCAAGTATCCAGATACGTGCAGAATTAAGCCGTGCATTGCTCCTGATCATTAAGTCACCTGCCATCAGAGTAACACGGCCACATCACACGCTGTGTGACCAGTTTACTAACTTACCCTTCTCTAGGTGGCAGAGTAATTAATCACCATTCTGTGAGAGTGCACACATATTCCTACCGACAAACAGGGAAGGGCTCGCAGAGGGCAATGCTTCTGAGCACTAGGAAACATTAGTCATTCATTTGATTAGAGGGCATAGCCATTAAGCTGAAAACCTGGTAGATGGTTAAACTAAGAACCAGCATAGCCTCATTTTCTTTTAAAGAATAAAGTTTTTCAAGAGCGCTACGAAGCTACCATACGAATGAAGACAGGACTTGATTTCCAGTACCACCAAAGTCAATCCCAAGGACCTGTGAATTTCCTTAAATGCCTTGCTGGAGGGTATCGTGTGGTAACTATATTACTATCGCCACTTTTTTTTTCATCAATTAGTATTGTTAAAGAGAAGCTCGACTATCGAGTTCCTAACAGCAGCAAAAAATAAATTCCCTCCAATTAAGTAGTCTAATAAGCTATTTAGGATTTTACCACTGAACATTCTTTCCTTCCCATTTAATTTCGGCTTTCACTTGGATGTCATCTTGTTGAAAATCCATCACAGAAAACTATGTGGGGGGGAAAAAAACCCAGATAATGTTGCTAAGTGCCCCTGATGTTCAAAAAAGAGCAGAAGCACAATATTTTTTTCTAAATTACCCTGGGATTTTTTTCATCGTAATTTAGCTTCTTTCCACTAGAAATTAATATATGAAAATATATGAAAATGGTCAATATGCAAATTCAAATATCACACTAGCTCCTCGCCTTCAGTAAGTGCTATATGCATAAATTTGAAACAATACAATATTTTAAGGGTCTTGATGATAATAATGCCTTGGCGTGCATATGTGCATGGATAATTATGTTCGTTTAATTTAATCATGAAAATATTACAGGATCATTTGGTTTTCTCCTCTAAAAGTTCTCTCACTTTTTTCCATTAATTCATTCCACTTTGCCCCTTCTAGAAGTAATGTGTAAGTAATGGGCTTTGAGCTGAAAGAAAAATGGTTACTTTCTTGAGGCATTATGGACAGCAAAGGGTCACGTGAGAAGGTGGTCGCCTCTTGCCCTTAGCATGCAAGCTGGTCATTGAACTTGGAACAATGTTAGGCTTTTCAGTAGAACCTGGTCCTCGGCTTTTATGGCCGTTTCCTCCTACAACTTTCCCAGCGCTGAGAATTTGCCCACGGGTAGTCACCTGATTGCAATAAAAGAGACCTAGAAATGAGCCCATGTGACCCCACATTCCACATCTCAACTACAGTGGAACTTTCAGGACGCTGCACAGTTACTGGAATCACGTGGAATATATTGAGAGGAGCAGAGGGTTCAGGACATTGAATTCCACCATGCATTACAAGAACAGTTAATGCCCCAGTCAGTAGAAATGGCCATTTCGAATGGAAGGGACAAAGCAGGACGTGACGATAATTATTATCCTTCCCCCAAGGAGAAAATCTTCCTTCTCCTCTTTCCATCTCACAGAAAAAACTATGTTCTTTTCACCCAACATGTTAAGAGAGGCCAGAGAAAAGAAATAGGCTGCTTTGCGTCCATCAATGGAATCTATATACCATCTTTCCCCCCAGGGATTAATTCAGCTTTTGATTAAATCTTTCTGAGATTTAAATCACGGGGTTACAAACCTCCAAGGACCTCCTTTATGAATTGTGACCTTCTTTATTACTCTCTTCTCTTCTGTTTGATAAAGTACAAAATTGATTTATAATGGTACATACTGTGTTTGGAAAACAAGGAGTGACGACTAGAATGGCAAAATACAACTACCAAGTAAGTTGTTGGTTAAAGTATTCTATAATTAATATAAAATATACCATTTTAACCAAAACAGTAACTCTTTGGTTAAAAGAGTCTATAAAATAGACTATACTAAATAGTCTAGATAGTCTATATAGTCTAAAATATACCATTTAAACCAAAATAGTAACAGCTTTGGTTTAAAGAGTCTATAAAATAGTCTATACTAAATAGTCTAGAAGCTATGGTTATAGTAGTCTGAGTTACAGCTGTGTAGCTAGTAAGTAATACTGGTGTCAAATGAGCATAATAATGTTATTAGGGTTGTAAATTTAATCCAATGATTAGTCAAATCTCCCCACAAGAAAGTGGGGAAAAAAATCGGGTGATGTTGAAAGAAGAATTTCAACTCAATACTCCATTGTACTCAGTTTAGACAGATTTAGTTTGGAGGACTTTTGAATTGAGCCAAGCTCCTTTTACATAAACTCTTTATATCAAGTGTTCATTTATTTTTGTCAGCCCAATTTTGGCTTCAATAATTATTTTGCTATTAGTATCATCAAGGAAGGATAAGGTTTTCGGGACAACATGAAATGAGTCTCTGATTTCTGTCAGGATGTCCATAGTACCAAGCCAGCAGAGGCTACTCCTGCTTCTCAAAATCTCTCCCTTTCTCTCTGCCCTCAAAGGGTAAAAAATTCACCCTTAAATAAAAACTTGCATTATTCTGATGTCTCTGTTGGTTCCAGCCAGCAGACTAAAAGTGCCCTATGTGATTTAAGCATCCGTAGAAGAAAAGTTAGGATGTGAGACTTATCCACTGAAAGTCAGGAGTGCTTCGTATCCACAGTTGTAGGTGAAGGCAATATTTGGGTAAGCTCGTGGCAAGTTTTATTTTCTATTTTGATAGAATAATTGATAAATTTTATGCTAGTATAAAATAGAAATAGAACCACAGGGAGTACTTTTTGTGTTATTTAGTGGATTTCAATGCACTATTGATGGCTCTCATCACATTTTCAATATTTGCAAATGCTTTTTTCACTAGGAGACTGAAGGGGGGTCTCTATTTACCCATTTTTCCCCAGTGCGATTAAGTCCTGGGGTGCAAGTAGCTGGGAGTTGCAACGGTAATCTGAAATGTGCAGTGAGTGGGGCCTGGATAACGCATCCGATGACATTAAGGCCATCATCACCTACCAGGTACACTGGACATCCTGACAGGAAGATTCAGCAGCAGATACCAGGCTGCCTGATGACTTACATACGTTGGCAGACTACATTCTACTATAAGCCTCCAAAAAATATTCAGTCCATCTAGAGTAGAATTGCTTCCTATACTGAATATTTAGTGGGTCTCTCCCCAGGGCAATAGTTTGTACTTACAAATATACACTTTCCGGGGTTAAGTGCAAAAACCCATTTAATACAGTGCTCATCCATTTAATAAAATCCCACCTCCAGACGTTCATTAAGAAATCAGCACGTCAGCCTTTGCCGTTTGAAAGAAGACAAAGTAAGATACCGAAGTTGCCCGTTGCCTCCCGGAGAAGGAGGGGGAGAGGGAGAGAGAGCAGAGAGGAAAGGGAGAATAATAAGCAGGTCATGGGTCCTGATCTGAGAGTCCTGCCAGGAGTTTGGTTACGATAAATGAGAAAAGCAGAAGTAGATTTGAAACATTCGTTTCCCTTTATTAGCTCAGTGAGGCTGATGTGTACTGCACATTAAAAAAAAAAAAAAAATCACAGGAATTTTCATACAATGAATAAAACCACAACAATACATGAAGAATTGGCAGGTGGAAAAAAAGGCCCGGCAAGGGCTCAACTAATCGCTCACTTTCTCTCTTCAGCAGAGTTCAACCAACAGTATTACACTTTCACCTACAAATCGTAAAGTAGCTCCATCAAATCAGCAGTTCACATTATTGAAAATGTCTGTCACATAGGTACAAATTTAGAATCATCACATTATATTACATGGCTATTCTAGGTCATCTATAGATCCGGTCTTAGACTACAGTGATTGAAGTTCTCGTTACAGCCATCAGAAAAGGACACATAATCATTACCTACTGAAAGCTCACATCCAAAGGCATGAAAAGGCTTCCTTTTTCAACTGACCCGAACATCATACCCTAATAGTGCAAATTCCCTCTCTGCTGCTTTGAATGTTGACAGCCCAACCGTTGTTCTTGGAGTCATTTAGCAAAAATTGATTTTGTTGCACTGGAAGAATGATTTGGCTACATCTCTGTTAGAAAAAGAAAAAAAAAAAAAAAACCCACATTTCTAAAGCACCAGTTCAGTTACCAAAATTGTAGATGTGGTACTTACCACAGCATGAAGGCAACGGCCCTCGGTCATCTAAAAAGCCTACAGATCTATGCTGAAATTTGTCTCCAGTGATGATGGGGTGTGTTTCTTTGAAATATTCTTTCCCAAAAAACCAAAAATACAAATAAAGAGGACACAGCTTCCATTTTGACGGGCTACCCACAGTGTCTGCGTAAGATACAAAAGCTCCACTAATTTGGATGCGATTTGAAGTCCATTGATGAAAACTATCTTCATGGTAACAGTATTTGTCAGGCCAGAGGGGGCACAAATTAATCCTCAACGTGGTTATCTGTGGTATCGTCTTTTGAAAAGTCAGAAAAGAAACCAACTGTTCCACTCATGTCAACAACAATCCAGGGCAAAAAGCAGAATGGATTTAAAATTGGATCACAAAAATTTAAAGGCAAAATAGAGAACGCTTCTGGTCCTTGAACACATAATAGGATTTACTAAATATCAATTTCTTAAAAATAATTTATTGCTCTTAGTAGTCTTTTTCGTATTATTCTACAACAGAGGATACTCAAAATTCAGAAAGAAAGACTGTAAACTTTAGTTTGGCGCTCACACAGAGTGAAAATACCTGCCTTGAACCTACAGAACAACAAGAATTAGGCGGATTAAAGATGTGTGACTGTTGTAACGCAGAACCTGTGAACAAGTTCTTTTATTTCATAGTTATTTTTATTGCTTTCTATCTACTTAGAAATAAGAAGCCAAAAAACTCAAGCAAGCATCCGACAGGACAGACAGTGGATTCAGTCAGAACACAATATGCTGGTGATCAATGGATGCAGCTATCAAAATGAGCTGCACTGGCCTCGGGGTGAAATCCGTCTTATAAGATCGTGTTGGGTGAGAGAAAGGAAAAGAACAATTAAAGAGTAGGTGTATATCGTGTCCCCCAAAAATGTCCTGTCCGCCAAACAGTAATCAAATCTCAATTTAGAAACTTGAATACGTGCTCCAAATTTTACTGATCTCCGTTCTCGGGACTCCACACTCGGATGAAATCCTGATGCTGAAAATGGAGGGTTTTTTTTTTTCTGAAGCTTGTATTGAATTTAGCAGAAGCAATGTCATCAAGAACAACGTCATGGTCACATCAGAGGCCATGCTAGTGCAAGTAGGAACACTGCTTCTGCAAAAGCTGAATTTTCCCAATGAAGCACTTACACTCCAACCTGACAATTGTCATGCATCCTAGGTAGAAAATTTCCACTGGCTTTATTATTTTCATCATCTCATAATTTATAATAAATAGGCTATCTGCAACTGATAAATACGTCTCTTTAGTAAACAAAGGAATGAAATATCAGTATCTATACAGGATGCATAACTGTAAAAAATACAGATAAATACCATCATCATACTCTGCCAAGGGAAAGAGATACTGGCTTCAAAGATAGTCTTCAGACACACGTTAATTATTGTAAAAATCATACTGTAATTATTACCTCAGCATTTTGTATCAAATTAAAATCACAAAAATTAAAACAGAACAGCATTTTAAAAAGATTTTTGACCTCTAGTTTCAAAACTACTGTTGATAGAGAAAATAAAAACATTTCTTAATGGTTACCCATTGAGACTTTACATAAAATCATGATATCTTCTAGAAAAATTTTAGATGAGAAAATTTCATTCCCCTAACAAATCCAGTGTATAAAACTTCAAAGAAAAACAAGCAACAAGAAAATGTGGAAAAATATCGCAGAAGTGGTTAATACCTTTAGGGACTAGGATATTTCTTGACAAGATGCTTAGATCAAAGCTCACCTAAAGAGATGGAAATGCATAAAGCATCATTTTGTCATTGCACTCAACAGACACACACACTGTCTTTTTTTTGTTTTACAATCAAATATATATAAGCAGTAAGTTCAGCTTCTAAATATGTTAGTGTACAATAATTGTTTCACCTCAATAATTACAGTTGAATATTCTTGATTAAGAAAAATTTAGCAGTTTTGAAAAGAAGGCTGCATTTACAGTGCATAGCTGTAACAAAAAAAGAACATTGTTGTATAGTATGTACATAAAATAAAAATACTCCGTTTAACATCTGTAAATACTTAACTACATCAGAGAATGTAGCAATTACACTATATGAACACATCCCAGAGAGTTCTACCCAACTCTCATTAGTAATGTAACACCGTGTCCGCTCTTCAGAAAGAACCGTCGAACAAGCTGCACGCTTGACCATTGACAAGGCTTTTGAAATTTGCAGTGGAAGATCAACATTTTGGACATTTACATGGGTGTCAAGATAAAGGACGAACTACAGAAACTTCAAAATGTTAGGGAAGTTTAGCATTCTGCTACCCGCAGCATCCTCTCCCACCCAGATTCCATGGCACAAGGGGAAAGAAAAAAGAAAAAAAAGGGGGAGAGACAGAGAGAGAGGATATTAGTTCTATGGAACCTGTGGTTTCTTCGGGATTGTCATATAATCATTATGTTACGAGAGAGCTTGCTTCAAGTTGATTTTGCACTTTCTTTCTTACAAAAGAGAGTACGGAGGCTGACGCTCTGACATCAGCAGCTGTCACTTTAGGGCGGTTTGTGGTTGGTTGGTTGGTTGGTTGGTTGGTTGGTTGGTGAGTTTTCTTTCCTTTTTAATTTATAGATGTACTTTTTTTTTTTTTCCTTTTGAATAGAATATGAACATTTTGAAGTTCTAGGTTTTAAGTGTGTCTTCATGGAACTGCTGCCATTTGAAGGGGTTTGCCCTTGCACACTCTGGTCAGGTGCTCCCAGTCCCCACGTGCCCACACATATACTTCCCCTACCCCAGGCTTGCACACTCACACGCACGCACACACACACACTCCATCGCCAAGCGACTCCGGGGAAAGCAAAGCCGACACCATGAATAAACATGTGCTTACTGGATATCACTCTGCCTCTCGCTTCTTCAGCAGCTGTGTTCATGTAAACCATTGTTATTGTTGTTGTTGTTGCTGTATTGTTGCTTTGCTTTGCTTTTGTACAGAGAGTGTAAAGTAGGAGAAATTCCTAAGTATGACTTGCAATAGTCTGTTAGGGAAGGACGCACTGTCCCGTGAGGTATTCACCATCCCTCTGTCATCCTCAGCCAAGGAACATGTTACCTGCGCAAGCTTCTCTGAGCTTCTTTCAGTAAACTATCAAAATCCAGAGAGTCATACTTGCTCTTGGTGGAAGCAGGGTCAAAGTCATCTGAGTTTGAATCTGAAAGAAACCCAAGCCCGTTTAGATGCACATGTTGCTGGTGACCATGAACTCAAGTCATTCCATTCCAAGATTATCTGACTCACAACAACTTATCCAATCAACATACTTTTGAAAAAAAAACATTCCCAGATTTTGTTTGATATATACAGATGTATAGGCAGAGGATGGGGAGAAGTGAGATTTCACACACACTCACCTAATGACTCCTTTTAGATTTAAATACTCCTGGGAGTATTTAGGCAGAGCAGACTTTAATATCTGTTTTATAGATAAATCCTTACCCCCCTCACCCCCTTCACCCTGGAGTATCAGATGACTTGCCCAGAGTCCCTCAGTAACTCCGCACAGGTAAGAATAGAAGCTGGAACTAATTTTCCTATTCAGTGAGATTAATTTCACTGAGCTTAAAAGCCAGTTGTGCAGGAGCGAATCATCAGAACTTTTCCAAATCCCTGATCTGCTGATTCCCTTTGAGGCGAGAGGGACATACGATCCAGTTTGTGTGTGTCAGCAGCTCTGGGCAAACTCAGCAAGAGTGGTGCAAACTCTCCCCAAATCAGAAGGTCAAGGGAAATGCTTCACATCCCAAGAGAGTAAATTCAAAGAGGAAAAACATGTAGGTTTAAATAAATCCATGTTCTTTCCAGGATCCTTAAACTAGCGCACGTCAGCTTTTGTGCCAGGTTTCATCGGTTACTTCAAATACCCCTTAACACAATAGGTACATCTTAGGAATAGTGAATGGAAAATGATATGCTGTTCAATGTTTTTGACGTTTCTCCTTTGATACCCAAGAAAAAGTTGGATATTTCTTGGGGAAGAGGAAGAGGAAAAGAGGTTTGCAATGGAGTCCGATCTATTAAAAACATTTAGTTAGGGGCGGCACCTGTGGCTCAGTGAGTAGGTCACTGGCCTCATATACTGAGCGTGGAGGGTTCGAACTGGGTTCGAACCCAGTTTGGCCTGGGCCAAACTGCAACAAAAAAATAGCCTGGTGTTGTGCTGGGCGCCTATAGTTCCAGCGAACTCAGGAAGCTGAGGCAAGATAATCACCTAAGCATGGGAGCTGAAGGTTGCTGTGAGCTGTGACACTACAGCACTCTACCAAGGGTGACAAAGTCAGACTCTGTCTCTCAATATATATAGATAGATAGATATATATTTAAGGGAAAATACAATGATTCTGAAAAACATTATCAATTCTACTGAAAAAATAAACAATTCCCATGTTTTTCCTAGAGTAAATTACAACATAGAAATGCTCAAAGTGACAAAAGTGTGTAATTCCGGATGTTGTGGAGTCACAGTCGGTGACCTGCCAGGTCATTTTGCTGAACGGACTGCAACATCCCAAGCTCTCGAGCCTGACTTCTCTCTTCCCCAAGCTTCAGTCTACTTTCACATTCTGAAGTGTACAGACAATGACATTCCTTTACTTATTATTGTTAGTTTTGTTCATTCTTAGCATTCCTTGTCTTTACTGATTTTTTTCCAGCAAGTTCGTCTAGGTAAGAAAAATAAGAACCATTACAGTCTTATGAAGATATAAAAAACAGGGGCCAAATGGGCCTATCTTTCCTCAAATAGTCAATTCTGTAATTACACTGGCTTCGACCCTTCTCGTCTCAGCCTAATGAATGGTTTTCTTGTATTATTATGGCCTTATGAGCAGCTACAGCTCAAAAAAAAATTTTTTTTTGAAAGACAAAAAAAAGTATAGCTCATTGCTAGAGATCAGTGTGAAATCAGAATTCCGCCTCCACTGAAGATCAATATTCTCCCAGTGACAGGGTCTGTAGGACAAAATTCAGCATGGATCCGTCAAGAATATACCTTCATACCTCTACTGGGAGAAAATTTTAAGAATACTTTACATTTCCTAACTTTGTATTGTTCTAAGTGAAGCCCAGAATTTCAGTGTTTCTGTATTGTGACTACCAAATATTGAAAGTAGTGTGAAAGCGTAGTTCTCAAGAATTTCTCCACTGTGAAATATACACAGTTCTCATACATAGTCAAGAATTTCTCCACTGTGAAATATACACAGTTCTCATACATAGTCATTTGTACAGGCAACTGAGTGGCCAACCAAAAAGTCTTTCTTGTTGCATTAGATAGAATGCGGTTGCATGGACTTCCTGAGGCAATGACATCTACTCTGTTCTTTCACTCATGAAAGGATACTAAAACACAGTAAGCTATAAGAAAGGTTTTATAGAATGATCACAAAGGCCACTCTAGTTTTAAAACTGAATTGCCATAAACAATTTTGCATTAGCAGAAACAAATCCCATCAGATGTGTGTTCCTACCACATGGAAAATTGCTGGAAGAGAGTAGGTCCTCAAATTAGTATGTGTTGAATGAATGTGTTAATCTCAAATACCAGAATATTATTACAACTGTGGTTAAAAGTATTTGTATTGGGATCTGGGCAATGATTTATCAATGAATGACGAGGGTATATGTCAATGACGTGTATATTCAAGATGCTGATAATGTAATACATTTTTTTGAGTCAATAAAATGTTAGCAAGACTGTGTCATTTATTTCATTTGTTATATGCTTATGTTCTACACCATAACTAATCGCTGATCAAAATTATTCCATTCAAAATACCCATTCTTCTGGATTGACCCTATAGTCCTACCCTATTTTCTGTCTTTCTCCTTTACCATTTTGTCACTGAGGTCTTTTTTTTTTTTTTTTTTTTGCAGTTTTTGGCTGGGGCTGGGTTTGAACCCGACACCTCGGGCACTTTACTCCTTTGAGCCACAGGTGCCACCCACTGAGGTCTTTTATAAAGATCCATTTGTTTACAACAGAGCAAACAGACACAGAACACAGATTCACAGCAACTAGGAATTTACCATTGACCTTGATCAAGTCATTTTAAAATCTTAGTCCCACTTATACGACTTGACTTGCCCATAAATAGTAGCTAGAATCATTATGTTTTACTCTAATAATATTGTAGGGACCATGCACTAGGTTCAGTAGTAGAAAAATAGGATGTGTGAGCTAACTTAATTTGGGGGAACCAATAGAAACAGAAAACAAAGTTGGTTAAATGATATAATGTACATATAAAGTCACAGTCCCTCTAAGGGCCCACTGTACTCCTATGCTCTATAGATTCAGTACCCGTAGTACCTGTATGCCTTCCCTGAAGCATTAACTTGAACTCTTCAGGGAATAAAGACAAGAACATGAGAATTTGGCTGGTTTCCAAACCTGGTCCCTGCTATTGATTCTTCTATTATTTTAAAATCTTCAATATATTCAAATATTCAATAACATTTTCAAAATATTTTATTCAAAATATTAAGGGGGATAGAAATGCTTCTGTTAGATGGGTAGCTTTCATAACATTTAATTTGGGGCTCTTTTAAGTGTGCCCATCACCTCAATAGTTCGTCTGTTTTTAAGATAACTTTAAAATGGTAACTTATTTGCATTACAATTTTAAATTATAATCATAGGCGCTATTTCATGAGCACCTATGGGATGCCAGAGAGTTTGGCAAGACCTTGACAAACATTTAATCTCCAAATAAATATTATAAGGTAGTTCACAAATGAAGAAGTCAAGCCTGAAGGAGGTGAATTGTTTGCCCAAGGTCAATGGTAAGGTAGGTTTCAAACCCAGCTTTGCAGGATTCAAAGCCTAGGCATGGTGAGTATACCATGAGTATGTTCAGAAACAAAACAAAACTACTTCTTACGCCAATGTAGTACTTGAAGGAATTGGAAAAACCCATGCTACTCCAATACACGTCAAATGTGCTTTTAAGAAAATACAGTGAGCTTAGCAATGGCAAAGTTTCTACTGCTGCTGGCTAGGCAGGCGCATAATAAGAGGGAAAGCATTCTTCTTAGATATATTTCAGGGAGGCTCCAGTTCAATTTGGAAACACCATCCAATCCTCCCTCTACCAGTGATGAATCGTGATCTGAAGGCCCCTGTAGGTAGCTTATTTTAAACTCTAGATGTTTTGAGAGACGAGAAACACCCCAGCCTTCATCACTGAGGAAAATAAGTCAAATCAACTCAAGACTTCAATCTGTCTTAACTGTTTTTATCAGCCAACATTTGAACAAATGACTTGCCACGTTTTATATTTTCATCCCTAGGCCTCTGTCTCTACAAGTCAGCTGCCTCTCCCCTGCCTCTCACTATCTATTTAGCACGTGGAGTGAATTATAGCAGATTCCCTCTGAACAATGCACACCACCTATATCAATTACCCTAGGAAGACACCACTTCATGGGAAGGAAGAAAAAATTCCTCTATTTGGAATTCATTTCTCTCCTTAAACCAAGCAAGAACAAGTACAAATAGATATCTAATAATGCTAAGTAATAGATGTGTATGTTAACTTCATGATTATTATTCTAAATGAATTTAAAATAATTATGACATGTGCACAAGACATTTGCTGCTGTCTTTTCTTCCTTCCTCCAACAATTTGGAGGCTTACAATATACATATTCAGCAGAGGATGACATGTAAAGGAACAAAATTAAAACTGGAAAGCAAATGAAGATGCTCATTGTACAATTATTTATAACTTCAAAAAATTAAAAATTGAATAAATGTTTAGCTCTAATGGAATGACTAAATACAATGGCACTATTCACCCTACAAAACACTGTGAAGCTATTAAAATATGTTGATAAATTATTTTTAATAATCCTGTGAATCACAGCAGGGCGTGAATTCATATATTAATTGAGAAAAGTAGAATTTGAAGGTTCTATGCGCACACACACAGAGGGCGCCAAAAAAAATGTATATGCATTTTAAGAGGTGCTACCTATGTATTGTTTTTTGCAGTTGAATTTAAGGTGTTATTACTGGTCCAGTGTATATAGACACGCTGTCCCCAATATAGACACGCCGTTCCCATCCTTTTTAACTAGAATTTATACACATTTGGGGAATGATAGATTTACTTCCAACAAGATCTCTTAAGATCCCTTTTTTGGTATCCTCAGCATATAATCTTAATTATAAAAAATTAGACATTCTGAGACAAAATACTGGAAGGCACATTATTTGGTTGATAATAGTGGTCTTCTCTGGGTGATGGGCTAAAAGGGGATCTTAATTTTCTTCTTTCTTTTCTATATTTTCTAAATTTTATCCCTTAAGTTGGTACAGCTTTTATAAAAAAAAAAAAAATACAATAGTTTTGTATGCTTTGGTTGCCTTATCTGTGAAATAGGGGGTGAAAATAATCACGTCCACCTCCTAGAATAGTTCTGGTGACTAGATGAGAATAAGTTTACAAAGAGCACAAGGCCCAGCACATGAGAATCCTCAACAAATAACAGGGTTTTTTTTTCTTTTGTTTTAAAGAAAGTACAGTGTTATTTAGCACGTGGGACTTTATTTTCTCTTCTTGAGTTTGTAATTTATAGAAAAGGATAATATTTCTACAAGTTTGTAAAATAACAACCAAAAAAAAAATGCTTAGACTTTCACATATTTTATTCTATAAAACAATGATAGTGAGGCTAGGGCTTATAGAAAAGAATTTAAGGAGGGCACAGAATGCAAGAGCAGGTTGTAAACACACACCATAAACACATAGAGACAGCCACATAGCATCCAAGTACACAACCGTACACAACACATGAACACACAAAATATAATGCCACTCACATACACACAGATGCACACAGTATTCACATACAACACACACGCAATACACACGAGTCATAAACACATGAAGATCCATGCACTAGCCACACACACATAACACACACATACATAAAGCACCCTGGCACATAAGGTAGTGCACACACAAATCATAAACACACACAGTACTATACAATATCCATACACATCCAACACAGAGCCACAGACATACACGCAAAACCATACACACATAGACACAAGATCTACCTGCACCAAACACATACCATGCAAACACCACATACACAAATCATAAATACATATATACATGCACAGTTCCCACACACACTCCCACAATACACGTACACACAAAATATAGCACTCACACATACACATAAAAACCATGTACAATTTTCAGAATTTCAGCCCCTCGGCAGACGGCTGAAGAACTCACTTATGCTTTTTGTTGCCAAAACCTAAGCCCATTTCTTCTGCAACCGTCTCATATATTAGGGAAAAAAATCTGTATTCAAATAGTCCCTCTAGTAAAATAAAGGGATGGCCCAACCCACAGCACCTATGGATTCTGTTTGCTCCCATTTTGAGCTCTACATTATGGATTCCTCATTCCACGTACAATAAAATCCATACCTAGGTCTGCATAGTTAGACTTGAAAAATTGCTTGCGTCCACAAAAGTACAGCTCGAAATCAGTTTCGTTCGACCTGCGCAAAGTGTATCCATTTTCAAGAGCAGCAAAAGCATCACAGGTATAACGGTAGGTAATGAAACCATAGCTGTCTCTGCAAGGGACAAAGAAGTTCAAAGCTTGTTAAGATGCATTAGCATACGGGACTGTAACCCTTTCTACTTTGGGAGACTTCGCTGGTGCCAATGTCTGAGCCACCGCATCCATTTATCAGTGTGATTGTCCTGTCAAGCAGCTAAATACTTATTTCTAGGACAGGAAATCTCAACTAGAAAGATTAATAAATAGGGATGAAAGAAAATAAATAAGGTTCTGAACTCAACATGTCATCTGTCAAAGCACTTACGCGGGCAACTCCCATCCCAGTAATCTGATGGCCATAATTTTTTACATACGTCAGCTTCTGAACAAGAAATAATCTTGAGGATTCTCACCCATCATCCCGTGGATTGACTGTGCACTCCTCAATTTCACCAAAAACTTCAAAACGGTCCCTCAGTTCTGTCCGTGTCGTGTCAGGTCTGATTTTACCAACATAAATCACTCGGCGTTCTTCCTGTGGGCGGGGGAGTAAGAAGAGACTTTCACTAGTTCTGGAGATGGGAAAGAAGGGGAATGTCTAGAAACATTCATGAATGCCCAATCATGCATCAGGGGACTCACAGAGGATGCCAATGAAAGCAAACACAGACCACAACCGAAGGACAGACAGCACTTGACCCCAGTGATATTTTCCATGCATTTCTGTCTCTCTACTCTTTCTTAATCTTTCCCATCCAACTCTATTCTTCTCTCAGACAAGCTCTTGTTATTTACAAAAAAAAAATCTATTATATATTTGATGACTTATGACTTGATAAATAAGCTTTTTTTTACAGACAGAGTCTCACTTTATTGCCCTCGGTAGAGTGCTGTGGGCATCACAGCTCACAGCAACCTCCAACTCCTGGGCTTAGGTGATTCTCTTGCCTCAGCTTCCCAAGCAGCTGGGACTACAGGCACCTGCCACAATGCCTGGCTACTTTTTGTTGCAGTTTGGCCGGGGCTAGGTTCAAACCTGCCACCCTCAATATATGGGGCTGGCGCCCTACCCACTGAGCCACAGGTGCTGCCCAATGACTCATCTTCAAAATTGGTATGAAACTGACTTGGCTTACAAAACTATTTAATTTCTTATTAGCTCAGAATTCCAATAATGAGATGTACAAATTCTGACATCCTCCAAAGAGTGGTTCTTAAACCCTAGTATAAATAAAAACTACTTGAGGTGGTGGCTAACAATGCAAAGTATTAGCGTTTATCCAAACTGTACTAAAATAAAATTGGAAGACAGGGTTCAACAACTTTCATTTTTTAATAAGCACACCCCAGTGATTCCGAGGCAGGTGGTCAAAGACAATAATTTAAGAATACAGTCTTAAAATGTAGGTCATTTTAAGTCATGGGTCTCAAAAGAATAAAAGCTAAATAAAAGAGGCTATAAATTTCTCTTTGCCAATAAAGCCAGTCTTATTTTAAGAACAGACTAGAGGGGTGTGGCCTGATTTTCACAAGTGTAGTCTATAGCATCTTAATCTGAAAGTCATCAGCAATTTGTAACTTACAAAATATGGGAAGACTATCGTATAGCCCAATGATAAATTCCTTTTTTTACCAACAGGAATGCTTTATAAACGTTAGAAGCAACACTGTATCTCTGTTCCAAAAAGAGAAGGCCAAAGGTGGTGGTGTCTCTCAAAATTGAGAAAAGGTTTCTGAAGAACAATAGACGTTGATATAAAGAATGTGCTGACCAGCTGGTATGGATGTCTACCAAGCAAAAATGAAGTGAACTTAAGCTTGGAGAGATTTAAGTTAGATTGAAACAAAGACAAGGAAATAGAGGAGTAAGGAATAGATTTAGCTTGCTCAAGAATTTTCTCTGAATATACTGAGAGTCCTCAGTTTGAGATGCTATGAAAAGTAATTCAGGCTGCAGGCAGAATGATGCCCTGTGTTATTTACTGGACGTCTTTCTTAAGATGTTATCATATACCCAATATTCAGCAAGGGATCTAGGGAACAGTAAGCATTCAATAAAATTCCCAGACTCTATCTCTTCCAAGGTGACCTGATCCCCTATGCCTGGTCTTTTACCATTTGCAACGTGCCTATCTCTATTTTTATCAGGGAAGTAAGTTCCTCTGAGCTTCAGACCCCCCAAAATAACTATCTACTGGACATTTCAGTTTGGCTATGCCTTGGGCACCTCAAGCTATGCTAACCTTACCCCAAATGTTGTTCTTTCCCCAGCCGGGTGTTTTTCCAGTTCTTGTAGCAGTCGAGTGAACACTATCTCACCATGTTTTTCAGGACAAAAACCTGAGTGCTAGAAAGTGTTCACTTCACTGATGCATCAACATTGGAAAAAGACCAGCCTCCGTTGAGGTCCTCTTCACATACCCAAGTCCTCATTCAATCCTGCTGATTTAGGCCTCCAAATCTCTCTTCGGTGTCTCCTTTATTCCATCATTTTTAGAACAAGCTCCCAGCTCTTTCTGGACTAGTATAACAGCCTCTTTAACTTGGATTCCTGTGTATATGTCATCCTCCTCCAATCTCTGTTTTACTGATGTCACAACAACCACCTTTGCTAAGAAAATGGGAATCTAATCATGTCAATTACCAGGTGAAACATTTCAATGGCTTCTCACAACTTTTAACAAAAAACTAAAGTCACTAAAAGATCCACAAGGCCCTGCAAGGTCCAGACCTCTTTTCCTCAAAGGCTTTATCTCTCACTTCCATTCTTTCCTTGGCTCTATTTTCCAGCCACGCTGAACTCCCATCAGACCCCTGTATACACTGGGCTTCTTTTTTCCCAAAGCATTTGTGCTGTTCCTCCTGCTACCTGGAACATACTATTCACACTACACCCCTCCCAAATCTCACATGCACAGCTCACACTACAACCTAGAGTTACGTAAAGCTCAATAATCATTTTCCTTCTGTGACTTGAGATCAGACAGCCTGTTATTTGCTCTTACAGAAAACTATTTCTCCTTTGTAGGTCTGCGTTTAATGATAATTAAATAATTGATAGTTTAGCCATTGTTCAATGTCTGCCTCTCCACTATAAGGGAAGATTCATGAATCTGTCCTCGTCACTACTTAGGGTAACTGAAATATAACAGAATCTCAATGAATACTTGTTGTCAAATCAGTCAATTGCCAATCAATTAATCATTTCTCACTCTTACCCTGTGCCTTTCTTTACATCAAAGATGCCTAAGGTGGTTCTTCCTTGCTGAGACTCGGAAAGCTGGGTGCTTTGTCATAGGAAAATCCTTGCTCTGGTAGCTCAGCTGAGTGAATTAACAAAGATGTCTATGATTTCCCTTTCCAGTTGTTAAGTATAAGAAGTGTGGAGTCAGCGCTGTGTTTGCAGGACTCTTGGCTCATAAAAATCACCTATGACGATCAGAGGTGGAACTCTGCTGCACAAGTTGGTGAAACCCAACTCCTCTCACAATAGCTATTCCGTCTAAGTAATTGACCAGAGGAAGTTCTGCAAACAGGGCAGACTGCCCGATTCACTTTCTTGTAGATTGCATGTCTCAGTTGCTGAACTTGTGTTGTTCCGGAGCACCCAGCACAGCCCGGCAGTGGATAAGTAGAAATGGACAAGGAGGCTCACACTGAACAGTGCTGTGCGATTTAGCAAGGGAATCATAACACTGCATTCCTTTCTATTTACACATCCAGCTCTAGCCAAACAGCTCACTGTGATGGGACTGTTATCTAAACTTAAACTTCCTGGCGCCTGCTTGCATGGGTGTTATGGACTTTTTTTTTTTTTTTTTAATGAGCCTTTTAGGAACATTACTACTGTATAGAGGGAAGGGAGGGAAAACGCAGAAGAGAGAAAGAAATTGAGCCATCGCAAAGAAATTGCTTGACTACCATTATGGGAATACACACAGCCTATGTATTCAAGGAAATTTGAAGTTAAAGCTAAAATCAACCATATGCACGCCCATATGCAGACATATTGGGACAGTCTCTGAATTGCAGCTTTATACAAAGTTGTATGCAACAATGATCCCACATAAAAGATAAAGCAGAGGACCTTTTATATCGGATACTGGTACATTCTGCAGTAAAAAGAAGAGATAACCTAAAGGGAAAAAACTGGAAGCCAAAGGTCTGCCCCACAATCATTTCAATTACCTATTGGTCATCTTTTATGAAACACAGGAAAGGAACCATGCCTGGCTAGGTTACCAAGATCGGAAATTGAACACATCTTGGAATTCTCATTTGAGAAAATTATTAAAGTGCTTGATTTTTCCTACTGTTAAAAAGGAAACTAAAAGCCATCCGAACAGAGAGAAAGCAAAGACAAAAACCTTTCCACGATCGGCCCAAACGACTAGCAAAGAACCAATGCTTTTAAACATCTCACAGTTGTGTTAGACAGATGAATAGATTTCCTATCTTTAAAAAACCTTAACATTTGCAGCCAATTTTTCCAAGACATTAATTTCTAAACAGGAGATGAAAAGAAAAGAAATCAAAATGCTTAATAACATTTCCAACTTCTTAAAGGCTTGGAGGAACTCTAAACCTTTGGAAACACCCCCCTGAAAAATGATTTTCAGCCCCGTTTTCACGATTGAGGAGGATGGCACATTTATCAAATCACTTTTAGCCTCAATTTTCACAAAAGCTAGTTTGCTGATGGGGTGGATAATAAAATTGAAGATTTATGTTGCATTACCAGCTACAGTAAATCCTCATTATACCAAAACACAAGGGATAAATTAAAAAAAAAAAAAACTGACGGAATTAACTGACTCCGCAGTACCAAAATCTGTATCAACCTGAGTACAGAGTTTCCCAGGTATCTAGGGAAAGCGGACAATGGTTGTTTCTCACCAAATAATGAGCTACTCCTGGTAAACGGGGGTTGACTGAGAAAAGACAGAAAATAGTAGGGATATTAACATCTACTGATCTCTAATCTGCAACAAGTACTGTGTTTGGTGATTTGTCTGTGTGTTCTCTTTCTAAAATGTCTTATACTAGGACAAGGAAGAGCTTGATATAATTTACATTGTGGTTCTCTCTCCATCTCTAAGTCAGAATGCTTCTGTAATTGCTACAGAAACTATATAGCAATTTCATCAATGGAAGATCTGTGTTCATTTCCATATTAGCTATCCCATGACTTCTCAAAAGGCCCAAAGATATAAAAAACATCAGGGAAGTGTGAATGGCACACCTAGGTACTCTTCCTACCAGGATAGGAGAGTGGAACAGAAGCACATGGAACTGTATGGATGGACAGAAAGAAACATCAAAACTCTAGAAAAATGTGAAAAATGGTTTTTTTTCTGTCTTGCTCTTACTATTGATTATCCTTACCTAATTCAAGAGGAATTCAATAAGTGCCCACCCCTTGAGTGTATTCTTGGGGGAGAAACATAACTGTAGCATTCAGCTTTCCAAAGTTACCCCCACCCAAGTACCACCCAGGAACTTTCCTGCCCAGCAACGAAGGCTATGGATAAACCCAGGCTAAGATGCAAATCCAAGCTCAAATGCAAGTAAACACACTGACAAGGCAGAGAACATAAGAACTACAGACTAAGCATGCAGAATTACTGATTTATTGAAATATAATTGATGTACAAAAAATTGTTCATGTTTAACCCACATTTTGGTGCAGTTGAACCTAGGCATATACCCAGGATACCATCACAAGCAAGATGATCAAGGTACTTAATGTATTCCCAAAATACATTATTAATTCCCCCCAAATTTTCTTGTGTTCTTTGCTGTTTCTTTTTCTATGTGTGTGTATAAGGACACTTAACATGAGATCTGGCCTCTCAACCTAATTTAAAGTGTACAATACCACGTTGTTAGATTTCTAGAACTCACTCATCTTGCCACTATACTGAAGATATCTAAATACTGAACTTAGATACTCAGCCACATGAAATAGCTCTTTAGGAATGCTCGAAGAGAAAACTATTTTGTTTTCTTCAGAAACAGTAAGTCTGAGAAGTTGCACAACTGGTTTTTGTGTGTGTGTGTGTGTCATCTGAAAGAAATTTGTAATTAATCAGTGATAGATAATCCACTATGCCTGGCTCCTAAGCTGCCTTTAGAGCAAGAGAGAAATAGAATATCCCAGTTGTTGCCTAAGCACATCTGGTTTTGGTTTTCAGCACTGAGCCATATCAGAATGTCTAGATTTGCCCTTTAAATTAACATCCCATTATCATGTTTTCTGGCAGGAAACTGTACAGGTTGCAAATGGACTTGGACTTAGAACTCCACAAGAAATTAGAGCAATGACAGTTCAGACATTAAATACTAAATTCTGGCTTGGACTGTCCCAATATAACCTGAATCATTTCAAGCTTATAAGACTGAGAAAGAGAGAGAGTGTGAATTGGGTTTTGAGAAAGAGTTTAGATGGGAATTGGAGGAAACTGAGAAGGGATACACTGGCAATATTCAACCACAGTATATGATTCTGTGTTAGCAATTATTTATTCTTCGTGTTCTCTTTGCGCTCTGATTTAATGCACTCAAATTGGGCTGGATTAAGATTCGTAGCGGCATAAGCAATGCAACATTTACAGACCCCCAAACTACCTCCTTCTTATGGAACTCAAAATAAAAGCAATATAGACAAAAGTAGAAAAGACTACCTTAAATTATATAAGACACCAATTATTAGACTTTGTAAGTTTGTTTGGCATTTCCTTTCAGAGCTTCTGTTTCGCTGGTTCTCTAAGTATGTGACTGCTCCTTTGAATGCATAACCCAGTCCTGCATCCAAGGCATCCCAAACGTAACTTGCTTCTTATTCTTGGCTTTCTATGTGTCTCAAAACTAGGAAGGAAATCGCCAGCTGACCAATGTAGGGAGACTATCCTGACTCCCTGAGCTGTTTCAGAATTTTTCAAATGAATTTAGCCAAATGCGTCCAAATCGTTGCCTGTGTCCCTGCACCCAAGTCCATCAAAACATACGTTACAAATGCGTTATGGAACAAGAAAGCCAACCATTTGTAAAATGGACATCGATCAGAAAATCTTCCTGCGGGTAAACTCATTAAAAAGTTCCACCATGCTCTTAAAAGAGATTCCAAGATCTTTAGCATGAGTTCCAGAACCCTTCAGGTCTGCCTTCCAGTGAAACCTTGTCCCTCTTGTGACCCAACTTTTTAAATGACAAGTTGTTTCCCAATATCGTCTCCTCTTTTGCAGAGACTTCTAATGGGCCCTGTTTAGAACAGCATCCAGTAAAAACAGGATGCACTGCATATAATTTTAACTTTTCTAAGAACCACACTTACGAAGGTGAAAAGAAACTGAAAACTCAAGGTTGCTAATACATTGTAATTGGCTAGATATATCTAAAGTACGTTAATTTGTAATTGAAAGTCAATGGGGGTATTTTACCTTGGTTTTTTTTGTACTAAGTCTTCAAAATCCAGTCACACAATGCATTTTAATTCACCCTAGACTAAATTAGACGTGTCACTAATGGCCACGATATTGGATACTGTAAGTTAGAAAACATTGGTTCTCCCTTGCCTTAGATTTAGATCAACCTTATTCTCCCTGGGTGTGGCCTCCCTCATTCCCAGGGCCAGGTGCCCACTCCTGTACTACCATAGTTTCGTGGATGAACTCTGTGTAGTAGTGTTAATCACCTTGTACTGCCCCTTCTTAGACCTTTACCTGCCAGTAGATTTGGAGCTTTCTGGATGTGAGGACCATGTCTTTCCTAACTTTGTCTCCCAAGAACCCAGCAAATGTTTGTCACGGAAAGAACTCTGAGTTTTCCTTTATGTTAAACAGAAGCAGCACATAATTATTCAAATAGGAATTGATTCAAGGATAAGTGCCAAATCTTTATTAAGCACTTACTACTCATAGGTCACTCTGTTTGTAAAAAAGTTTGGTATCTTAGGGTTTTTTTTTTTTTTTAAATCTCCTTTTCAAAAACAAAGATAATCTCAAACCAAAACTGTGAGAAATGTCTGATTAAGGGAAAATGACTTCATATAAGCCAAGTTGACATTCGCACTATGGTGAATCCTCTTTCAACTCATGGAGATTATGTTACTCAAAGAATTAACCAAGGAACTGGTCAACATTAGTGATGCAAAAGGGTAGGGTGGCATCTTATTCCGAGCTGAGGTGGGTAACTCTCAAGGCTCTTCTGGCTCATCTAGGCCAACGGCATGGTTTGATCAATTCAGAAAGGGTCAAACTAATAGAAAGACAAAAAGATACCTTTCTTCCTTGCTTGCTTTATTCTAGTTGAGTATCTAGCACTAAATCATCTTTGGAAGGCACTAACAAAACGCATGTCATTTATATACTCATTTTTGATCAAAAATAAATATGACTCTGTCTTTGGTTATATATTGTTCCATGTTGTTCCCAAATAACTAAATTTATGATGAAACTATTAATCTTTCTCTTTAATGCCTTATTTTTGAAGAAAAAAAGGATTTTATGAACTATGAATTTGCAAATAGCAATATAACTATTTTCCCACATGCTTGCTCCATGTGATTCTCTTATGTAATGATTCATTGTAATTTGCCATATTAAAAGGCTTTGTAAACTATATGGCACTATACAAATGTGAGTTATTATGCTTATTGAATAGGCCATTCAATTAATACCACAATATTAGAAAAATTGAATTTTCAATTTTCATTAGCCTTCATAAGTGTTAACTAAGAATACTCTGGCAAATCTGAATGTCACCACTCAGTTGAAAGTTAAGAAAAATGAGGGAAAGTGTTGTAATTCACACAAGGACCGTTGATTCAGGTTTGAGTCGATTCTCACTTAAATGGCAGCAAATCCCCCAAAACTTTAGCCTAACTGTTCTATTACGTCTCACTTCTTTCTCCTTGAGTGATTAACAAACCTTTCATTTAACCTTTTGCCTCCAGCTGGAAACTGCTGGCCAGTGCTTGATGCCAGCCAGTTCCATTAGTCAGCTCTTTTACATTGGGTTTTCAAAATTCTGTGGATGTTACTGAGTTTTCTTAAAGGCACCCTATAAACCTAACCTCTACCGTGAAAAATTATTTGCCCTAAAACTTAATGAGCATATATGCAAGGTATGTCCAGAGCTGATCGTCACCAAACTGACTCAGTGACCAGCACAGACAGGCAGCTGAAGGAACCAAATGTGGCACTGTGTCCAATCGATCATCCACGGCTCCCTGAGGTACCATTGGCAATGGCCCCCACGGCTCTGCTGGGACTGTGGAAAGCATTCCAGGATTGATTAGTAATGTCTGCCATCAGCCTGGACTGGATGTTGACAATTGGACTGCCTCATTTTTTTGGCCTTTCAAGGTTTAAGTTGATAAGCAGTAGCAGGGAGCTGGGGGAAAGTCTAAAAGGCAGTCACTGAGAAAGACCTTCAGAGACCAAACGCGTGTAACATAACCTGGATCTTTACAAAGGATTGTCAGCACTGCCATGCATCAAGTGAATAGAACACCTCCTAGTGAGTGCTGCTGAAATCCACAAAACGTTACGGAAAAGTAGTTCATAGGCAACGTGGATATGTCAGCTGGCCAGTTAGGGGTTGACCCATCACAAGTAAGAGCTGAGGAGCTTCTCAACAAACCTTCCACTGCCACCGCCTTTAAGTCTAACGTGAACCCGGTCTTCTCAGAGACAACTTAATACTCATATCTGCCAAAAAGATAAACACCGAAACCAAACAGCGATACGTTCTCATTTTCCAGTCAGAAAAAGAAGGAATGGGAAATAGAAAGAAAAAAAAAAAAACTCATTCTGTGACCAGATGAAACCTCTATCTCCCCCATAAATCTCAACCCCCTCCCATTTTTCAAAATGATACTTGAAAACAGTCGGGATGGCCAAAGTGAAACTGAATGGGAAACAGACTGACCTGATGTTTTGTTTTTCAAAAAGGTGGGTTAAGGGGGATGGAACACTTCTAGATGTTTTTAAGCCAAAAGGCCCCAAATTGCCAATTCTAACAAAGACTTAGCCACAGTTTATTTCCTAATACACACACACACACACAATAAACAACAAACAGAAAAAAAGCACAGAGGAAAAAAAAAAGAGAGAGAGAGAAAGAAAGAGAAACCCTCCTTCAAAATGAAAGTTAGCTCCAAGCTGCTTACAACTGCCTTCTGCCTCTGCCTCTCCCTCTGCTTGGCCCGCTCAGACTCCCGCTTCTCATACTCTCTGCGGTATTCTTCTCTCTTGAGCCTCTCGTGCTGATATTCCTCGTAGCTGTCATACCTGGGAAACATAACGTCATCATTAAGACAACCACCTCGATTTGCACGAGCAAAATGAATAATAACTTGGAGGGAGATAGGGAGGGTTTTCCATAACATCTTGGCATCAAAAGGAGGGGACAAAAGGAGCCCAAGGAAAATGACACAGCCCGTTACCTGGGCCGACGGCCATAGGGCGATCTTGAACGTGATCTCACGTACAAAGGAGAATTTCGGTGTGTGCGGTGTCTGTAGTGGCTTGACTCGTAGTAGTAGCAGGATCTGGGAGAGAGCAGAAAAACAAAAAGGGCATTTGTAACTGGCACTGGGACCCAGTTTATCAGCGCTACCGAAATCCTCTGTAACAGTGTTATTACATAAACCTGAGTTTTCTTCCCAGCTCCTAGTGAGATTTCCCAGTGACAGCTTGTGATCATCTAGTCAGCTCAGAGGACTGGGAGTGATGTGCTCTCGCTCAGCGTTGCTTATTGATGTGAACACCGAGCACCAGATCGGGCGCACTGTCAGCTTTATCTTGCATGGATCTCAACTACCCTGGCACAGAGCAGCTCTCCAGGTAATGGAAAAAGTTAGATGAGCAAGTTTCTTACAAATTGCTCTCTCTGATCTGACTGGTTCGAGGCACTGTGCTCAGAGCTGGCAGATTTCAGGGGATGTGGAGAGGGATGCCTGTGTGACAACATTCTCGTTAGTTCCAGTGGCACTGGGGGTGCGGTGGTGAGGGGTTAGACTGGCTGTGGATTTTGAATACTGTTTTTTTTTTTTTTTCACTTCCTGGGAGACACTTTGTGCCATTGGGTGAGAGTTTTGCCAAGGTTTACCTGGAAGAGGATCTATTGCCTGGAGACCTTGATCTTGACCTGGAGTACGGTGACCGGGAACACGACCTGTGTCGGGAAAAGGACCTTGAACGAGAGCGCATCCTTTGCGGTCTTTGAGAAAATAAGGATTTGGGCGGTGACACGGAATCTCTGCATGGAGAGTTAAAAGAAGAGGAAGAAGGAGACATATCAAACAAGGAATAGGACTGCGTGCCGTCCCAAGGGTAGCTCAGTTTGTCACTCTCATCTTCGCTGTCATCAAACAGGCCATCCATGGCTAGTCCTGAATTTATAAACATAGGTAGTTTGGAGAACTGTTCGTTACTGAAATCACTATCCCTCAGTTCACTGGTCTTGTCTGTTTCATCATCAAAAACAGCTTGACGGGGATGACCGAAGTGCTTGTTCAGCTCGGCTCGGATCTCCTGGTCTTGGAGCTGTTTTCTGGTACTGAAAGGAGAGACCTGCTTGCTGGCCTCCGAAGTCTCTCTCAGGTAGCACTGGTCAGAATCTGTGGAAGAACAAATCTGCCCCTGCCAATCAGAGGAGGCATCTTTATATTCTAGTTGTCTAGAGTCTTGGAGCTCCGGTGATAGATTAATGAGTATTTCGACTTTGGAGTTAACTGACTGGCAATAGTCGTGGTCACCAAACAGCCGTAGACTGGGCCTCTTGGTCTTTCTTTCCTCCAGTCCACTGGCGAGCACGGAGGACTTGCTGAGTTGTGCGTACAGCTCTGACTGCTCGGGCCCTTTCTTGGCAGGGTTACTGCCTTGGGTACCAGAAGACTCACTGTACCGGGGCTTCTTGGATAGTGGTGGCACCACAGTCTTGCAAGAGGACTTCAGTTTTGGAGAAGCCCTAAAAGGGTTATCTTGGTTGGCTTTATGAGGAGGAGTTGTGGGTGGAGTTAGGCCTACGGAGGTCAAAAAAAAAAAGAGAGACAGAGAGAGAAAAGAGACAGAGATAATGTTCTTAAATGCCAAGATACATTTTCTAGCTTTTTTAAGATTTCAGACATGAGTTCAAACTGAGTGAAGAAGAAGAAAACTAAACTCATGACAAGACCTGAAAAGGGGACTCTTCTCCTGATCCTCTGTCATTCAGAAAAGATGGATCTGTAAAGCCGGGGAGCAGCGAGGAGAACCACGATCCTTTGTATTTCAAATACCAACGCTAACACATCCTGCCTCCCAAAGAGCATGAAGGCGTCGCGCCGCTGCACACACGTTACTAAAGCCCACATTTTCAAGGGGATGGTATAGGTTGCTCTAGGGAAAATTACCAAAGGGAGACTCTGAAGTCACAGGACAGCCTCGGTGGCATTTGCCTGCAAAGATCATTGCCGAGGATCCATGTGGCTCAGGGTTCTCTGTCCAATCGAGAAAATTTACCCTTGGAGCCAAGAAATGAATAGCAACTGAGAAAAAAAAAAAAGGGATGACAGCAAATGTGGGGCAGGGGTGGGAATGACACAGACAACTTCAAAGTGAGTTCAGTAAAATGCGACAGACAAATGGAGAGACCTAGAGCGACTCTCCAACTCGACGGCAGGGATGCTTTGTCTCCACAGTTCATTAACTTAGTAAACCATGGCTAATGTAGGGATAATACATTCTTGTAAGCATAACTAATACATTCTGTGTAAAATACGGTTCCGCGACAGAAACCGGAGTGAACAGTAACACGGAATACTGCAGCTCCGCGGACCATTCTATTTAGAGCACAACACCGTCAGCAAGGGTTACGAGACTGAGGGATGGAAATGAATCCCAACTTTGATAGCTGACTAATTAAATAAATAAGAAGTAAAGGAAGAAAAGGGAATGACCATCCATGGCTGTCTCCCTTGCTTTTCTACAAAAGGGCAGGAATTCCATCAAAAAACACGGTAGGAATCTAAAAATCATAGCCGTTCTCGATGCTAGGTTGCCCACCCTCCCTCCCAAGTATGTCCTACTCATCTTTTGTGCTGAGGAGGGATCATTGCAAAATGGGTCCGGAGTCCCAGGAACTTTGAAGAAGGGCAGGCTGGAGTTCAAATGACTTTGTGCTTACAAGGGAACATTTTAGTTTACAATACGCTTTCTATTGGGGAGGCTGGGTGATGCTATTCAGCAAAAAGAATTTCAAGTCTGCTAACAAGCCTGGGGTTAGACTTAAGGCAAGTTTCAAGGAAAAAAAAAATCCTAACTAGCTAGAAAAAATATATATATATAATATATATATGTCAAGAACCAAGTAGGTCACAGAAAGCCACATGAAATTTTGATGTGAACAGGAAGGTGCTGCCTCTCCTACCTTAGAGCAGAGAGATGGAAAAAATTAGTGTTTTCCCTAAAATCAACTATTGTTTACAACATCCGGTAATTTTTTTTTTTTTTTTTTTTTTTTAGAGACAGAGTCTCATTTTGTTGTCCTTGGAAGAGTGCTGTGGCATCACAGCTCACAGCAACCCTTAGCTCTTGGGCTTAGGTGATTCTCATGCCTCAGCCTTCCAAGTAGCTGGGATGACAGGTGCCCACCACAACGTCCAGCTATTTTTTTGTTGCACTTTGGCTGGGGCTGGGTTTGAACCTGCCACCACTGGTATATGGGGCTGGCGCCCTCCTCGCTGAGCCACAGGCGCTGCCCAGCATCTGGTAATCTTTAATATTTCTAGCTAATTCTACCTAATTGAGTAAAGAATGGGTACACAGATGCTAAGTGGCTTGACTTTGGAATTCCATGCCAGAAAAGTTCAACAAAACAGGGAAATGCAGAGAAAGAGAAGGGAACACTTTGGTCTCCTCATGCCATATGTGAGTCTCAAAACTGGTCCCCTCTGTTGCAGCCATCGTCATATGTCTACCCCAGTCTTTGTGGTAGCAAAGGGAGGTGACCTAACATACCTGAAGGAAAGGTGTGCACACTTTCCCTTTCATTCCCTCTTTCATATAGATGAATGTGTCTTTTACTCAATCTAAGACATTCCTATATGGAATTCAGGAATTCAGAAAAGATCCATCTTTTCTTTTTTTCTTGTTCCCTTGATTTTCCACACGGCCCCAGTCATCTATTCTGATTTCTAGCACGCACACGCCCTTCCATTACCCACTACAATAAATTTATAGATATGAATTCCCAGTAAAGCAATGGCACATGGTCAAATATTCCTCGTAGGAGCCTAAGATGCTTAAAGAAATAATGATGAATAATCTTTGTTCGCTGATTAAATACCAGTCAGACGTGTCGAATGACGTAGTCCTTGAATCAGAAGAGATGACATTCAATATCCTGAAATTCAACTTCATAAATCTCTCCAGGATCACCTCAATTTGGGGTATTTTTCTACTTTGCCAATAATTTACTGTCGGAATCGCCCTCTTGATATCTATCTGATGTTGCTATATATTCATACTCATCTCTTTTTGAATGTGAATTATATCTTGTCTCTTCACATCGATGATAAGCTCTTTAAGGGAGGCTGCTTGGGCTTATTTGTTGCGACATTATTTTACTCACTTCTCTCTTTTTGTCTAGATTCTCTCTGAGTAAAGGACTCACATTTCAGCAGCCCAAGTATCGCTTGGGAAACTGAGTAAACATTTACAATGAGACGGTTCACAGACCACATGTGGAGACCCATGGCCCTGAAACACATGCTTTGTACTCTCAGGTATCATATGTTGACTGACATTCCAGATGTATAAAAAGAAACCCTAAACTTCAGAAACACCAAATTAGGCCACTAGTAAAGAGAGGCTCATCCTAAAAATAGCTAGCTCAGGTATCTAGGGATTTCAAATATAGAAATTCCTTTTAGTCCTAAAAATTTGAAACCCCTGTCCTAGCACCTAAGCTCATTATCCCTTAAATCACTGGTTCTCACGTTGCTCTGGGGAGTGGCAGCACCCTGATTGTACTTACTTTGATTTAAAAACAGAGCCTTGTATTACTCACAGGTCTTACACTGCGGCCATTGAACAGGCAATCACTGAGACCCCAGTATGTGCTGGATGTGACTCCAAATGCTGGTTTTCACAGACTCAGCCTCCAACGACTTCACAGTCCAGTTTAATAAAGAGGGAGTTGTTTCAAATTTGATGTAAGTATATTTTCTTGCAGATGTGCTTAAGAGTTATTGAAACATTCAGAGACCACTCAACCAATATTAGGGTTGTACATTTCTGTACATTTCTGCTACAACTTATTGAAACAAATAAGGAATACTTATCAGATGAAAGGTTTCTTTTTAGGTTTGGTGAGGAGGTGAGTGGGGAAACTAATTTCGATAAACACCTAAACTTTTCGCTGTTTACTGAAACATCTTCCATACGAGAGTATCTCAGGGCAAGACTGAGACATCTCACGGATGACAAGACTTCACACCATTAAATCCTTAATTGAAAGTCTATCTCCAGATAGAGTTGAGACCCAAAGCAAAACAAAACAGAAATGCCAAGAGTATTTTTTTTTTTTCTGTGAACAAAGCATCAAACTTTTAAGAGCCATGGATGGGACCCACAACCCTTTGCTGCTAACCCTGCCCTAGACACTTTCTCTAACCTTACATCTTCTACCCAGAACTTTTTCCCCTATGGTAGGAGAAGGTTGATACTCCATCCCTTGATGCCGCCATCTTTGCTCATCTTCCCACTAATCCCCGGACTCTTGATTTCATGCCACAAACCTAAATCAACAGTATCATAGCCCTCTCCTAACCTCCAGATTATTTCCTGCGTGTTGATTTTCTGGGGAATGTGTACATTTCGGTGTTGACAGTATAAGGTATATGCCGTGTTCTCTCTTGAACTTAGCAGGTTTTGACAGATTTATGTGAGGACAGATGGCCATTACAGGCTGAGGGCTGACAAGAGGCAGTTCAGAGCATTGTTAACACACTTGCACAAACTCTCAGCAGTGCAGCTCGGTGCAGAATGTAATTCAGACTATAGCTTTTTTATTGCTGCCTATTTTCTTTTGTCAAAAGAGCCTGCTGTGCAGAGCAACAAATGGCTGCTATTACCCGGAATGTAATGGGTGTCAGACAAATCACGTAACACAAACAATCAAGAGTAATGTAGGTCATATTTCAACAGAGCACAACCTTAGCAATATTTATGATTACTGCATTGAAATGTGCTCTATAATAAACAAGTACCTCTACATCACTCACACTTACGCACTTCTGCACAGCAAATCTGGGAGAAGTGGTACACACTCTATCGACAGTCATCTTTTTAAACAGCACTTTTGCTTAAAAAAAAAAAAAGTCGAAGACAAGTTTCAGTTTGTTTTGTTTTTCATTATGTGCTATGAAACGATTTTCTTTGAGGAGTTTTCTTTGGGGTCTGTTTGTTTAATTGAATGACTCTAATAACTGGTGGATCCTCTGCTGCCTTGCTTGTGCTTTCTGCTATGCACCCAATGACTTCAGCCAGACTATTTTTTTTTTTTTTTGGTAATGGTTTATAACATTTTACAAAATTGATAGCAAAGTCTGCAACTTAGTTTTGAGTTTACTTAACAGTGGGATTTTGCTTGTGTGGTGGGCCAATTCAGGTGTTAAAGCGAAAACAGTAAGAAGATGAGTTCTATGTTGTTTAAAAATTCACGAAAATTGAAAGAGCAGGCAAAGTGATTTATGTGATTTCTCCTACTCCTATCCATTCAGTCTCACAAACTTGGGGTGGGTGTCCAGAGAGCATAGGGAAAGCTGATAGTCACTCACGATCACCTTTACTTCCCTTTGCTTCTATAGCCGTTGTTAAAATATTTAGTTGATAAAAATTGATCTGGTCTGGTGCCTTCCAACCCTCTACCCCCACTCCCTCAGCACTCACTGGAGCTCCACAGGGTCCGACAACTCAAATGCCAACATTTGGCACAGAGCAAAGAGGCCTCCTCCATCTTCCTCTGGTCCCCTGGATGGCC